AACGAAACAGAACGCAACAATCAACCGAACATCGAAACAGAAAGCAACAATCAGTCGAACAACAAAACAGAACGCAACAATCAACCGAACATCGAAACAAAAAGCAACAATTAGCCAAACGATGAAACAGAAACAAGTTTAAGGCTAACCTTAAGGCTATACATGCATTCCAAATGATCCGAAACAAGTTTAAAACATACTTGTGAACTTTTAAATTAATGGCCCTTGGCCTCATGTTATACATACAAAATATGCATCAAAAAGTGTACTTAGGTACACATTACATATCAAAGAAGCCATCTTAGCTTCTAAAATATCATACATCCATGGTATGCAAAAATATAACATCCAAAAGTAAAGCATGCTAAACAAGTACATGTCAATACACAAAAATATTCCAAAGTGCTCATAAGCCTCTAAGGATGATGAACATCCGAGAGTGTTGTCTCCTTACCTATAAAATAACCCAAACAACTAGGGTGAGTAATTAAGTTACTCGTAAGAAAAAGCATATGCATATACCCTAAAGTTTCAATATCAGTGCAAGATCAATATAGACGAATACAAGGGATCATTCCACTTAACGTCTATGTTCAAGTTGTTCTAAGGGATCATCTTAAGCTAACTTAAATGATTCTTTAACAACACAACATCAATATGGATGTACTTAACAACATCAAATCGCCAATAACCAAAATTACAAGTCACAATTAAGCATTGGATGTCAACTTGGAATTGAATGCGAAACCAAATAATGGAAAACTTGGACATCAAATCCCGGAGTAAACCAAGACCTAAACGGTTATTCCGGGCACTAACCCACTGGGAATACCACCCTAGTACACACTATCTCAAATGGGGAGAACTCGTACCTCCTGCACTAGAGCCAAACTCTACCCATATAAATTGTAACAATGTCCCAATAGAATCCATAATCATGATTAAGTTCAAAACTTATATACAAATATCAAGGCACGTAAACCACCTTCCATGCACAAGTAATTTGAAACCACACAAACCATGTCTTAGGGTTCCAAGTTTAGAATGACAGAATAAATGACAAGTCCTCATCATGATAGAATGTACAAAATAATACCATCAACTTATCAATTAAATCATGCATCAACAATAAACTTTATATACTAAAAGCAATTAACAAGAATATAAAATTATCGTCACAATAAATATAGCAATTCAAGTCAAAAAGAATTGTATATAACATTAATAATTCTACACAAGGTAAATACATATCATACATGTTTAAATCAATAAATCCTAAGTCACAAATGATGATTTCCTATAATATGCAAGACTATAATATTAAAAGTATGTACATAATATATATTAAACCCCAAAGGATCATAAAACACTTAAAACATAAACATACTACCACCCCTACCTCAATAGAGAATTGAATCTCTATAATCCAAAGTAACCAAGCTTAAAATGGAAAACTAGGGTTTTATAGAGGAGAATGAGAGAAAACTTTTACTTCCCAATGTTAAAGGTCTAAGGTGAGTGGAAGGAGGCCAAAATGAAGTAATAAGCTCTAAACCAAGCTTTTCTTCAATAAAGGCTAGGTTCCGGTTTTGAGAACAAGGGAAATGGAATAGATAAAATGAGATGTGGTGGGCGGAGGATCTAGTATTCCTCCACTCACTAAGTGTTCTTACACTACCTCTCACACACACACAATACAAGACTTAATTTGGTGCATACACTTGTCACAAATCCATGGCTCTTTCCTAGGCTTAATCCTAAGCCTACACTTGTCAACCATCCAAGCCAACAAGTGCACCTATCCTAAGCTAACAAGTGAGTGAATCTCCATCCTCCACATGTCACAAGATAAAGCTTCCAATTGACTCCACCCCAATGCCAACAAATGGCTCCATGTGAGTGTGACACTTGTCACACTTTCCAAAAATTACAAAAGGTCATTTTCCAAAATATCTTCCAAATTAAATTGCAACGAAAAATCATTACTTTACATAATTACACTAAAACCCCAAAATTCAAGAATGTTTCCAAGAAAGTATGCATCAATGCCCTTTACAAAAAAAGTAAGCAACTAACATACTTTTCTACGAAAGTAAAAATACAAATATCATGGATGCATGCAAAGCCGGAATCAAATCCGAGCACGAAAAGTGAGGTTATGCAAGAAAAAATGATAAACGGGAAAAAGACGAAAAAGTGAAAAGGACGAAAAAGGATATTACCGAAAAAAAGAAAGGTAGGAAAATGACCAGCTCAATACACCTCATATGCTACTTTAGGAATTAAGATAGAGGATTAAAACTAGTTGTAATGTTGTGATATGCTTATGAACGGAACTGAATATGCATGTTTATATATATATATATATATATATATATATATATATATATATATATATTTATATGTAATAACTTGATTAAATTTTTGATTTGATGTTGTAATCTCTATTTTAATTGCTAAGCCATGTGATTATGTATTGTATAAATTGTGGAGATCATTTGGAACATAGTATGCATGCTTAGGATAAGGGACGATGGATTTACAATGTTGAAACTTGCTGTCACAAAGGAGGAAGAAGCAAGTTTCGGTCGACTGAATGAAAGGCATCGGTTGACTTTTGGTTAACCAATAGGTCTAGGCGTCAACCAGTTTTCCTTATTCGATCAACCGATAGGTTGAAGGCATCGACCAGTTCTCCATGTTTCTGCATAATTGAGTTTAGATGCTTTAATTTGATTTTAATCATCCTTAAGGGTAGTATGGGTGTTCATGGACTTGATAAATTATCAAAATGCATAAAGTATTATGCCATGACTTGTGATGGAAAAGGTTTTAATAAAATATTAAGTTGCAAATTAATCCTTAGTGATGTCTTAATTGTGATAATAGATGCAATAAATTGTTTTATGATTTTAATCATATGTATTGATGTCATTGTGATATAAAAACATGATCCATGATTGTATATGCTTGTTGTACCATTATTAGATATGGTTTTTATGAGATTGATAAATGTATGTGATTAAATCATTGAGATGACTAATAAGCATGGTCTCTTGGATATGTTGCCATTGTTAGATATGGCTATGATGTATGGATGTGTAGGTGATCTGGCTAATAAGTTTACACTCACTCTATTATGCCATTGTTAGATATGGATTTGTTGATTATATTATATATATGTATTTTCCTAATACAAGTTGATTCGTGGCCTTGGGATCAGTGGTTAGGATTGAGACATATATTTCCAGAAACGAGTAGCTTGTATAGGTGATTTGTATGACCTGTAGTATAGGGGACTCTTGACCACCCCGTTTACGATTTTCAGTTGATACCCTCTATTAGGTTGAGGTTGCCCTATACATAGTGAGCATCTATTAGTGTGTGTGTGTGTGTAATTATTGCATGAGTTTTAGTTAGAGAAGGATTATTTATCAGTTCTCTGATTGTGTTGTAGAAGAAAGGACTAGCTTGTGGGTTTAACCAACCATTGTTAATATTTTTCAGGTCCACATCAGTTCCAATCTTAGTGTTGAGTTTGTGCTGATAGTTTTCATCACTCTTTCGGATTCGATAATGTAGGATATTAGCTCATGATTTTATTCTTTAGACTTAGATATTATTTATGGATAAGAGTTTGGCCCCTCAGTACTCGATGATGAAAAACACTAGAGTAATGATCGTGGACGCTCCAAGGATGGGTTACTTCATCTCATCAGGGAGGAAAACAAAACCATATATGTGAAACCAAATTTTCCAAAAAACTCTAGTCATTTTGAATCTCATTTCAAAAGATGAAATTGTCAATTTCTATACAAATTTAACATTTGACTCATTCCGTATCAAATACATATATATTTAATTAAATAAATATTCACAAACATATTTTATAAATTATCCATTATGAAGGAAGAAGTTATACCAATGGACCATCCGCATATTTTATTCTAAAAACTTAAAATACAAATTAATCATGTTTTGTATAAATCATTTCAAGTAAAATATTTTATTTTTAACATTATCTAATAACCTAATTGAAAGAGCTTTTAACTCTCAGTGAGGGTGTTTATGTTCCAATATCCATCCCCTAAAAAAGAAAAAAGAAAAAAATGCTTTATTTCCGCTCGAATCTATTTCTTTCTTTCTTTTGAAGTCTAAATTGATAGAACAGAGTTTGGCCCCTCAGCTTGCATAAATCAAAAGATCTGACAACAACTATTACGTAATTAGTGGAACATATTTTGTTCCTAAAATCTTTCCTTGTGTTTGTAAATTGTAATCCACTTCCAAAAGTCAAAAAGTCAAAGATATATAGGTTCTGTTTATTTGGTAAAATATTTATGAAGAAAAAATATTAAAATTTAAGTAAAATAATTTACCCATCAATTTTTTGGAAGTTATTTTACACCCCCGATGAATCCAAAAAAAAAAACTAAAAAAAAATTGTCTGAAAAAGGAAAAAAAATCGGCAAAAAATATTATAAACGAGCCATAATGTTAGTGTGTGATACAATATACAATTTAAAACTTTTTGTAGGCATCTTATTCCCTTAATAACTTTATTTAGCAAGCACCAAGTGGATTATCCAATGGCTAGCAATTGTCTTAACATATTAAAGGAGCTTTATCCTTTGTTCTAGCACCACTACATGATAGATATGGTTTATCCTACTGTCCTAAAGCCTTATAAATTATACAGGGTCTTCTTTTTCAGCTTTCAAGGACAACTCAAGGTGATAGATTCTTTCATGACCCTTACACATGGGCAAACAGCCAAAAGGGATCAACTCTCTCTCTCTCTCTCTCACACACACACATATATATATTTGGGTATCAGATATATCTACAAATACCAGATCCATTGTGAAGAGGACCACACAATTTAGGTAAATATTACAATCTTCTGATATAAGCTTACACATATTGATAAATATTACAACCTCTTTCTCTTTTCATCTTCTTAGGGCAGCAAAAGGTAAAAAGATTCTTTCATGGCCCAAAAAACAAGAACAAAGAACCAAAACAGAACCTTGTATGGTGTCAACTGTCACACAGACCAGACCTCACCAATCAATTCTATCTTAACCTCAAATTTTTGGTACATTCACTACCTAATTACACATATTAGTACATGTTATATTACCTTCATTCTGTAACAGAAGAGACTCTTTTTAATTCTATTTTGCGAAAAAACATCATATTTTATAATCATTCACATCCGAGAAGAATAATTAAACCCCATATAACGGATCAAAATTCTCTCCGGCGTAGCAGTTGTCCAATCCCCTCCGGTTAGTGATGCACCTTAAAAAAATATTGTGATGCAAAATTTTCCCAACGTGCACACTAACTAGAGGGGACCTTGCCCAGGAAAGGATTTTAGTCCTCATATAACACCCTTTTATATATCCATCAACATAGGTAGTCCCCCTATCCTACAACTTGCCAACCTACCCAAACTCCCAACCTAACTACCTTTCATACATACCACCCTAGGAAAATGAACAGAAAATTTCTTGCATGCCTTTTGATCAGCTTATATGCTCAAGTCCTATCAAGCTTGGCTCTTGAAAGTTCTTTCACTTCAAGAAACAGAGGAATCGACATCCCAAAACGTGTAATACTCGAACTAGAAGTTCATGGTAAGAATTTCTTTTGATCTTTGCATAAAAAAAGTTCACTTCACTGTTTCATAATCACTGCTCATCAGATACATGTATGTGTGTACATATGTCTGTATAAACAGGTGCAAACGGGACAATCGCGTTGCGTAGATATGGTAGTGACAGAGAATATGAGGCAAAGAATGGAATAACGACCATTGCGAGGAGGTCAAAGCATGGGGCTGCAAGTGCTGTTCACCGACCTCGTCCTTCAGAGAAAAGTGCAGTATCACCGCTGAAGAGTCGATCTTTCTTCGTCTCTGCCTTGACTGCCTGTGTTAGCTTTGCTTTGTTCCTTCTTGTTCTGCTCTGATTTTTGGAGCTGATTTAAAGTATTTATTTATGGTCAGGAAGTCTAATAGTTCATGACTGGTAAAAATGTAGAGACTGCGTGTTTTTTTCTCCATTTATTTTTCTATAGGCTTCCTTGTGCTCTAATAGAAGTTGTGTACTACTGAAAATGGCTATAATTTGTTTATCATCTTGGTTGTACCTTATTTGATGAGTGTTATTTACTGGGTTTTTGATGAAAATAAACTTGATTTTAGAATTTTAGTATTTAATTAGTCATTTTAAGTATTTGTCTTACATGGTGTATGTGGACATTTAGCATGTTAGTGGGTAGTAAATTATCTTAATAAGAATTTGTATATAAAAGTTAATGTGATGGTGAAGATTATGTAAAATCAAGAGTCATGAGAGTTAAAGACTAAATGGTTATGTTAGTGGGAGTTAACCTACTAAATATCATGTTAGTGGGAATAGTGGATGTAATTAGACATTTAAATGTAATGGTCACACATACATATGTGAGGCCTATATAATCAGGTACTCTAGTCATTTTAGAATAAGTTGGGATTAATTGAAATAATATATTTCTTCCTCCATCTCTCTTCCAAATTATAGTGAGTTGTATTTGTTTGTCTAACCCACTTATTTCCAACAAAGTGGTATCAAATTGAAGCCATAAAGTGGTAGAAAAAGCCAACAGTTTTCTCTTCCCTCCCTCAAGAACAAATTGATCATATTATCCTTTTCCATATAGGATAAAATGGAGTGTGTGTGTGTGTGTGTATATATATATATGTGTGTGTATATATATAAATCCTCTGACCAAAGAAGGGAAGAATTGATCAGGAAGAAATTATCAAAATATCTTATCCCACACACTGAAGAATGCAACTGAGGAGGAACAAAAGATCATGAGAGTAAATCTTGAACAATTTGATGGAGAAATATCCTTTCTTGTTTTCCCTACTTTGTTACATTGAATACCATTGTGTAGGTATAAACCCATGTATAAATCAACACAATTCATCAGTTGGACAATCGATCATGTCTAAAGGTCAGTTTTATCCATCAAAAAGTGACTCCAAGTGAGCATTACCCCGTGACCTAGTTGGTAGAGCGCCTAATTCTCGGTGCCCATTTCGAGTCCCCTAAAAGTATGCACACGCCTTTAGATCAGGCTGCAATTCTAAGTAATCAAGAGCTGACCTTAAATAATCGTTGTCCATCGGCAATAATGCATCATGAATTCTACTGGCAGCATACCAAAGTGGCTTTGATTGAAGATCCCCCGCTACTGCAATAGGAGTGGCAGTGAAAATCACATTGCCAAAGTAGCCAGCTGGTGGGAGTGGAGGTTGGAGGCTGGACCGTCCATTTTGTCGCAATGTACAGCTTGGTTTCTTGATCATCTGAGAGTCAACATGCTTTGCACGCACAACACCACACATGCCCTGCTAGCCTTTCATATGAGCCAAATCTAACCATATTCCCATTTACATTTGAGAATGTTGAGTTGGTCCTGGGTTAGCTTGAAAATGGAAACAGTTACCTTAGGAACTGATTGGGATTCTGTTGTTTGGAGAGAAGGCTTTCATAGCAGGAGGGGGAGGTTCCGGTCGATGAGTGGCGAGCCGTTTTAGACCACTTGTTTATAAAAACAATTAAATGTAAAACATCATCTCATCACTGTAAACCCACCACAGGTAGACTTGGTAATTTATTTATTACCAATACAATAAAAATATATATATATTAAAAATCATATCTTAAAAAGTTAGGTTCTTAAAAACGGACACTTAAAATGGTACAGAGAGATTAACAAACATATTATCCGAAAATAATTAGACTGTCATAAAAAACTAACAATATGCTAGAACAAGAAAAGGGATCTAGCGGCCCCTACTTTCTAAAGGAAGGTCAAAGATTCAAGCCTCAGTAGAGATATGTGTGTGTGAGTACTAACGAATTCGATTATGAATGTGTCATGCTTGGAGTAAACAGCTCTAAGTCTAACTGATTTCTAAAACACTTCCATGTATCAAGTTCCTACCTACAGTTGACCTAGAAACAAATATGGACCATGAGTAGATCATGTTGTGGTTTTGTGGAGTCTGATTAGGTGAAAGATTTTTAGGAAGATTTAATTATATGGAAACTTCAAGACTGCTAAATTTTAGGAAAAACTCAGTTTCCTCGTCTGTTTTAACTTCCTTATTGGTTTTGGATTCTATAAAAGGAAATTTCTTTTAGGACAAATTATTTAGGGCTATATATATATTAACTCTAATCAGATCTTAGGGTGTGACAAAAATAGAAAGAAGAAAAAAGAGAGGATCATCATACGTATTGTATGATTGATTAATTTGTGTCAATATAAGAGAGAGCAATTGAGAGAAATTGAGAAAAAATTCTCCATTGAAATTCTTCATCTTCTTCATAGTGAATTTGTTTGGTGTGCTCCATGGACGTAGCCCTAAGATTTGGGTGAACCATGGATATCTTGTGTTCTTGTGTATTTTTTTTTTATTCTTCGTGATTGCTTGTTTATTCCATGAACAACGTTATTTATTTTGCGTTTCCATCACAACAACTGGTATCAAATCCGGTTGATTGTGCAGAGCAACACCAACAACTGGTATAAGAGCCTTTGGTTGAGAACCTAGTGCACAGAAGGTATTTAACGAAATTATCTGTCCGTTCGAGTGGGAGTAATGGTATCAGAAGATAAGACATCCACATCTATGATTGAGAAGTTCGATGGCACAAACTTTGGCTTCTGGAAGATGCAAATAGAAAACCTCTTGTTTTAGAAAAATCTGTACCATCCTTTGGAAGAGGAGCCAGAGGATACAAAGGATGCAGAATGGGAATTTCTTGATAGGAAGGCTCTTGGCACCGTTAGATTGAAGTTGTCAAAGTCAAATGTCTTTAACATCAAGAACGAGAAAACGACGAAATCTCTCATAACAGCCCTTTCTAGTATGTATGAATAACCTTCTGCAGTAAACAAGGTGCACTTAATCAAAAAGTTGTTCAACATGAAGATGGTTGAAGGTGGTAAGTTCAACGAACACCTAAATGTGTTCAACAAGATAGTTAGGCAATTAGAGTCTGTTGATATCGACTTCAAAGACGAGGTCTGAGCACTGCTAATTCTAGGGCAGTTACCCGAGAGTTAGAGTGGCACAATTACAGCGATCAGTAGCTCTGCAGGGAAAACCAAGTTGAAGTTTGATGAAGTTGTGAGCATGATTCTGACTGAAGAAATCAAAAGGCAAATAGTAGGGGTTTCCACTAGTGGTTCGGCATTGAATATTGAAAGCAGAAGCAGGGGTTCAAACAAGAAGAAGGACAACGGTAATAGAAACAGAGGCAGATTCAATTCAAGGAATGGAAGGACACAGTCTCAAAATTTCAAAAATTCCACAAATCTCAGTGACGTTGAGTGTTGGAATTGTGGAAAGAAAGGACATTACCATGTTAATTGCAAACTTCTAAAGATGGGAACTGAAAGAAAAGCTGAAACAAGCGTTGTCTTAGAAGAATTAGATGATGCATTGATATGCTCTTTGGAGAGCAAGGCGAAGTCATGGGTTTTAGATTCTGATGCATCGTTAGCACCTCAAGTAAAGAACCATTTAATAGCTATGAACCAGGTAACTTTGGCATAGTGTATCTTAGTGATGATCAGCCTTGCAGCATCGTTGGCAAAGGTGAAGTACAAATCAAGTTGAATAGGTCATCTTGGAAGTTGAAGAATATGAGACACATCCCTGACTTGAGGAATAATCTGATTTTGGTGGGACAATTGTCAGAGAAAGGTTTTGTTACAACATTCAATGGAGACTCGTGGAAAGTTTCCAGATGCATTATGACCATTGCAGGTGGTAAGAAATATGGCATTTTCTACACAACTACCAGTGCTTGTGGGTCTATAGCAATTGATATTGACTTCTGTGAGAGTTACGTGATGGGCAAGCATGAGAGAGTCAGTTTTAAGAATAGTGACAGAGATCTCAAAAAAGAGAAACTTGAGCTAGTTCACACAGATGTCTGGGGCCAGCCACTGTCTCATCCATTGGTGGAAAATCCTACTTCGTGACTTTTATTTATGATCACATGAGGAAGGTATAGGTTTTTTTTTTAAGCACAAATCTGAGGTATTTGATGTGTTCAAAAAGTGGAAGGCATGGTAGAGAATGAGATAGGTTTGAAGATTAAGAGGTTGAGGTCAGACAATGATGTTGAGTATGAAGACACTATATTCAAGAAGTTCTGTTTTGATAATGGGATTAGATTAGAGAGGACTGTGCAAGTAACCCCACAGTAGAATGGGGTAGCAAAATGGATGAACTGAACATTGATAGAGAGAGCCAGAAGCATGCGCATATATTCTAGTCTACCTAAATAGTTTTAGGCAAAAGCAGTCAATACATCATCCTACCTAATTAGTCATGGACCATCGGTGCCTTTGGAGTATCGAATACCAAAAGAGGTATGGAGTGGCAAAGAGGTAAATATTTCATAGTTGAAAGTTTTTTGTTGTATTGCATATGCGCATATTAGTGACTATACTAAGGGAAAGCTCGACCCCAAGTCACTAAAATGCATCTTCGTTGCGTATGGTAAAAATGAGTTTGGTTATCGACTTTGGGATAATCAGAACAAGAAAATCATCAGAAGTAAAGATGTGGCTTTCAACAAGAATGTGATATACAAGGATAGAGATGCACAGTCAACTAATCCTATATAGAGTGAGCCTGAGTTTATTGAATTGGATGATGATCCAGAGAGTATTGTCGCGGAGCAAACAGATGAAGGTTCTTGGCCAGAACTCACAGAGCATAGTTCACTGTGGATTCTAACTCTTAAGCCTCTACCTAAAAGGTCCACGCGTCCTCATGTACCGAATCGTAAATATATGGATTATATGTTGCTCACAGTTGATGGTGAGCCTGAATGCTATGATAAAGTATGTCAGGTTGAATATGCTAGCAAGTGGGAGCTTGCAATGGAAGATAAGATGAAGTCCTTTATCTCCAACAAAACATGGGAACTAGCCAAGTTGCCCATAGGGATGAAGTCTCTTCACAACAAATGGGTGTACAGGGTAAAAGAGGAACACAATGTTTCCAAGAGATACAAGGCAAGATTGGTGGTCAAAGGCTTTTAGCAAAAGTAAGGCATTGACTACACAGATATTTTTTCCCTGGTTGTGAAACTGAGTACCGTTCGCTCAGTTCTTAGCATTGTTGCAGC